CCTGCAATACAAACACGAAAATTCTAATTAGTTAATTAATAAGACCTATCCTTTGGACACATTTCAAAGGTGGTTGTATATTTTTTGTTAACGTTGTGCTTAATTTGCCATACTCAAAGATGGCTTGAGAAATTGGTGAATCGTGAAGAAAACACGTTTTCTCACTGCAAATTCACAACTGTCAACTCATTTTTCTTCGCCATATTCTTTGTTTACCCGTTGCCACAAATGTCATTCTGCGGGAATGCGCAATCTTGTATTCTATCGTTCTTGAGTTACGAGGTTTTTCAGAACCACGATACGCGGTTTGGTACTTTAAAGTTTAAACGACGATATGTGCATACCTTCAACAGTTTGAACACCACTATGCTTATAAATCTCAGCCGACCTCAGACGACAATTATCAACTGAACATATGATATTTCTTTTACTTTCTCACTTTTCTAGAAACTCATTTTTTAAATGATTTTTATCAAACTCCCACTTTGACTTTTCATCTACACCTACATGCTAATTCACTGAATATACTAACAACACATTTGCATACTTGTGCATGCAACTATTAAATTTTTCACTTACACTTCACTCGCGAAATTTCCACATAAAAAACAACGCCCGCTCTAATTTTTTGCACTCAATTGATAGAACATTTTTCGAACTACAACATTTTCAACAAAAACCGACACTTGCGACGTTATTTTCCATTAAATTTTCACATTTTTTCACCTGACGCTGCTCAGAAGTCAACGTTTACAAATTCGCGGCAAGGAAACTGACGAATAACGGAATATGGCGATTGTTAAGGTGTTACCTTATGTAGAGGGCAAAGTTCTAAGAACTTTTGGGAGTATTTCAATGTGGAGTATATAATTAAAAATGTTTATCTTGTATAAGTATCCGAATTCATATGTTTGTATGTGTGTACATTTGTATGAGCACACAAAAAATTATAAATTTTTATTATTAATAATAACTAAAGATTTCCAAAATAAAAAACAAATTAAATAATTTCCTATTTATTGGCATTGCATAGTTTTCAGTTTTCTTATTTTATGCGAAAAAATATTTAAATTTTATTTTTTCTTTTTACATCTACTAGAGACAATTTTTTATCAAATAGACAAGATTAGTTTGGTTCAACAAATTTCAAAATTTTTACTGATATTCAATATTAGATACTTTTCTCTCGCAATAGGATCCGTTAATACTCAATTTCAGAATATTAGTTATCAACTACCCCAACCCTATTTCCGTATCCCAACCTCGAAATACTCGTCCGTTTCCGTTCCAGTCAACGAAGAAGTAAACTTGTATGTAACATACATGTGTGAATAAATTAGATCGGGCCGGCTCTTATACAAAAAAAAAATTAATAAAGTACCGATTTTAAAGTAGACTTCATGGAGATTTGGTCAACACAAACCCAGCTTAATTCATTACAATTATAATTTCGAGAGCAGTATTAACAAGTTTAATTGTATGGTACCAAAATTGAGATTTAGAATGGTAGAAATCGAAATATTTAAGTTTACCTACATATATCAGTAGGTATTTTAGGACAAGAGTATATGAAAGTGCTATGTAGAACTTAAAAATATCTCTTTACCGATATTGACAAATCCGAGAAATAGTCAACCAAAAATGAAAAAAGGAATGTAATCCAAATTTTCAGATTTTTGATGATCATATCAACAATTCTTCAGAATTTGAGTAACGTCCAAACACAAATTAATACTAGGTATGTTATAATACTTTAAGTAGAAATTTCTAATATTTTGTTCTAAAAAGTAATGCCTTAAACATTCGCTTAAACCTTGAGTTTTTTTTTTTAATTATCAATTTTGGCCGAACGTACCATCTGCAGCGCTAGGATACACTTATATACTACAAATGCAATACTTTAAAATTGTATCTAACATACATATAAGAAGTTATGAGCAAAACTGTCCTTTGACTATTCTGAGGAAATTTGTATGACCCTGAAATCTTATCAAAATAATTTGTATTATTTAGAGGGAAGCGGGACTATAAATTATCTATGATTAAATTTGCGACCCAGTCTAGTTTACGCACATACTAGCTTAGTGCACACACATGCATACATACACTTGTCAATCAAACTATTTGCCGGGCACATTCTGCGCTTCAACAGTTTGAAACAGCACTGGAACTAAAACTGTCTCTATGTACCTCAACGAATAGGAGCTTACCTGCATACTATATTTGCTCTTCGTAAATACGCAAATAAATGCATTTTCTTTTATTTACTTACTCCTTGCATACTTATTAATTTTCCCTTAAATTTGCAAAGAAACTCACCTTAAAGGCGATTTTTTTAAACTGCACCTTGGATTTTACTTCTATAAACACTAATTCACTGAATACACTAACAAAACGTTCGCATGCCTGTGTAGGCGAAATTTAGACATAAAAAACAGCGCCCGCACTGTATAAAAATAAAAATCTATGGATAACTAGTCGTTCCAAAATTAGTGAATGTATATGTAAATTAAAACGGTTTTGAAGGCCAAAACAGTTTTATGACCAATTATAGTTCTGAGCGAGACCTTTTCAGCGACATACAAATATAAAAAATCGGATATAAAATAAGAAAGTTATTGCCAAAAACGCGATTTAGCGGTTTTTAGCGGGTGCCTAAAAAATTTTTTTTTCTCTCGATATAAGTGTTGAATAAAACTGACACCTAAAATTTTTTCTGTTATTTGTCGTGATACGGCTTAATGTATTTATGTACATACATATATGTATACATAAGTACATATTTACATACATTTGTTCGTACAGAGAATTTTATTGTTTGCCCCTCCTACATACTACATATAGAAAAGATCCCTGTAGGAAATATTGGTCCAATTGATTGAAAAATACAATCAGCTTAGGCGGCTACAGCGCCAAATAAGACGAAGAAGAAGGTATGGTAGTTTTGTATCTAGACAGGATAGTGTAAAAATTTAAAGCAATGTAATGAAAAAGATGTGAATTGTACTAAAAGTGGTCCGAATGTAATGCATAAAGTATGAGTTTTGATCTAAAATTGGTTACAATGACAGAGGATTTTCATGTTCGGCGTTGACATCTAGAGAGAGCATCCGCTTAGAAAACTTGAGACCCCGGTTCGAATCGTAGCTGGGGCAAGTTTTATTATTTTTAAATCTAAAATAGGTTACAATGTCATCCACAACACGGTTAAAAATTTCGGTTTTAATTTTAAACTTTTTGGACTACATATATGACTAAACTAAATTCAGTTTCAAATACAAACCTTCCAAGTTTAAAAAAAAAGAGAGCACATATGTTGGGTTTAGAATTTAAACAATTCGGTTTAAATGTTAAACCCAAACATTTTCATAATTAAGAATAAAAAAAAAAAACAATCTTAAATTTCATGTTCCGTCTGGTTGGGATTGAACCCGGACAGCCTTGGTAGCAACCATGGTATTTATACTAGTAGATGCTGATGCATAGCCCGACAATTGACATCTCGTAGGACATCGCAATGTTAAAAATACCAGTCGCTAACATTGAAAAAGGATAGAACGTGAACTAGTTCGGCTGAAACGCAAACCGGTAGAATTCTAGTTCACAACTAGTAGCTTTCCCTGCAGGGCAATTGTATCAAGCATCTTTGGACACTCAGCTACAGCCACGCATGTAAATGTGCTTTCATATGTTGAGTTTGAATCAACACCACAATTCGCTGTGCAAACATATTCTATTTCGGTTTAGATTTTAAACCAAATTTTCTATATATGAAACCTAGAAACTAGAATTAAAACATTTTGGTTTGATTTTTAAACCACGAACTTTTTGGGCTAAAATTTAAACCAGAATATATTAAAAATTGCGTAAAACTATTGACTGGTTTAAAAAGTAGACTATAAAAGTTTAAAAAAGGCAGTAGTCCCAGCGCGGTTTAAAAATTAAACCCAAATTTTTGACCGTGAAGCGGACAATTAGTCAATGTTAAATAATAATCGAATTTTACATGCGCTTAGACCAAATTTTACAATCACCAACAGTATAGCAGTGTGCTCTAAGTCTATTGCGAGATCCTACAGGTTGGCTATCAATATCATTTATAAAATGAATTTACATTAGGCTGGTCCAAAAATGCATGTGTATGTGCATACTTACTTGAATACATAAATATGCTAGAAGAGTCATGCATACTACGTACAGTCATACATATATACATGCATACATATGTACATGAAATTCAATTAGGATAACCCACTGAAGTTGCCATCGACACAGCAAATAATTTGATTACATAAAATTAATTATGTTTGTGAAAAGTATATTATAAACTAAAACCATTGAGAAAGAATAAATTAAAACAAAATAAAATAAAAGCAAATAAAGTAAAGTACGAGGGAATAAAAAATATATACATATGTATACTTAAAACAAATAAAATAAAATGCACAACATTTAACAAGTTTAAAGACTATTTATTTATTGATTTTATTGTAGGTTTTTACTTACAAAGAACTTGTTTTGCCCATAGACTATCAATGCTTAACTTTTATCGTGTATTCGTAGTTCAGAACTGACTAAAAGGATATTTTTTACATATGTATGTGTTTTAAAGAACTACGTAAAGAGAAAACAAACAACAAGCAGGTACTATGTGTGCACATATAATAAAAATCTAAATAAATATAAAAGTTTACTAAGAATTTTTGTCTTAAAAAATTTCAAATACTCGGGTTTTACTGTATGAAAGTGCGATTTGCCCGGCAGCGCTTCATTATTTTACGTTTATGTGCAGTCGTCGCTTTGTCTGCGCGTTTTAATTGCTTTATGTGTCAGATAGTACTTAGTTTTTTGTTAAATTTTATTCTCGCAATTCTAATTGAACGTCGCCACGTTGAAATGGGTAAGTGATCGCAGTCACTTACATGTCTGGCATCCAGAAAACAAACAGAAACTATTAAAATACAACTCGTCACAGATGGGTGCTGGAAAAAAATTGTCGCAGATGGAGGGCGCCAAAGAAGGCAGCAAAAGATGCTGCTTTAAAGGATGAAACGAAAACTGTTTTTATTTTAGGAATGTTATTAAATAGTTTTAAAATTNTGTTTTAAAGAACTACGTAAAGAGAAAACAAACAACAAGCAGGTACTATGTGTGCACATATAATAAAAATCTAAATAAATATAAAAGTTTACTAAGAATTTTTGTCTTAAAAAATTTCAAATACACGGGTTTTACTGTATGAAAGTGCGATTTGCCCGGCAGCGCTTCATTATTTTACGTTTATGTGCAGTCGTCGCTTTGTCTGCGCGTTTTAATTGCTTTATGTGTCAGATAGTACTTAGTTTTTTGTTAAATTTTATTCTCGCAATTCTAATTGAACGTCGCCACGTTGAAATGGGTAAGTGATCGCAGTCACTTACATGTCTGGCATCCAGAAAACAAACAGAAACTATTAAAATACAACTCGTCACAGATGGGTGCTGGAAAAAAATTGTCGCAGATGGAGGGCGCCAAAGAAGGCAGCAAAAGATGCTGCTTTAAAGGATGAAACGAAAACTGTTTTTATTTTAGGAATGTTATTAAATAGTTTTAAAATTAAATTTGTTTTAGTATTTTGTTATTTATTTATTTTTATTTAGATATTTTT